GAGGACGGATGGGAGATGAGGACGGATAGGAGATGAGGACGGATTGGAGATGAGAACGGATGGGAGATGAGGACGGATGGAGATGCGGACGGATGGGAGATGAGGAGGGATGGGAGATGAGGAGGATGGGAGATGAGGAGGGATGGGAGATGAGGAGGGATGGGAGATGAGGACGGATGGGAGATGAGGACGGATGGGAGATGAAGACGGATGGGAGATGAGGACGGATGGGAGATAAGGACGGATGGGAGAGGAGGAGGGATGGGAGATGAGGACGGATGAGAGATGAGGAGTGATGGGAGATTAGGACGGATGGGAGATGTGGAAGGATGGGACACGAGGACAGATGGGAGATGAGGACGGATGGGAGATGAGGATGGATGGGAGATGAGGAGGGATGGGAGATGAGGACGGATAGGAGATGAGGACGAATGGGAGATGAGGACGGATGGGAGATGAGGACGGATGGGAGATGAGGACGGATGGGAGATGCGGACGGATGGGAGATGAGGACGGATGGAAGATGAGGACAGATGGGAGATGATGACGGATGGGAGATGAGGATGGATGGGAGATGAGGACGGATGGGAGATGAGGACGGATGGGAGATGAGGACGGATGGCGATGAGGGCGGATGGGAGATGAGGACGGATGGGAGATGAGGACATCAAGTATACTGTATATGGATATGTGTGGAGTTGAAGGCTTAGAGAGGAAGGGATTAGATGGGGGTTTTGATGGTCAAGGGTTGTTGGGAGAGGAACGGTGGCAAGGTTTGGGACAACCGAAGGTGCAACTAAGGGGTGCAGGCCAGACCAAGCCACAGATGACTTATCAGGGGCATGGTCTAGCTAGAAAGTTTCGCGGGTTAAGTGTACCGTGCTCCATACGTCGCACCGTCGGGCGGTTGACCAAGAGGTCAAAGGCCTCATAGACATGCAGCCGTCCCTTAGTCAGCACCTTGTTCCGCCATGTGGTGATGCTCGCGCGGATTGTGTCCCACCTTGTTGTGTCAAGGGCGTACACAAGCGTCAAAAACATCCTCTTCTCCTCGCCTCTCCATCCAAGAGCTATGAACAAGGCATCGAGGATCTTGGTACTGGTAGGCCACATGGTGAAGCCTTCGTTGCTTGCGAGGAAGAGAGTATTTCGATAGCCTTGATCATGTACTCCTGTGGACGGGCGGGGTGGCACAGGACACAATAATCAGTTAAACCAGCCACTCAATCCGTGGATCCTATCTACCAAAACCTGCCTATAAGAATGCATTCCCCCAATCAGGGTTTAGCAAACTAGATTGGCGGGGAGACACGAAGCCTAGAGATGGATGTAGGCAAGAACGTGTCGAGGAAAGCACTTACAGGAAGGTTTCGTTTTGACACTAGGGACCGATTCGAACGCCGAAACGAGCCGCTCGGCCACGACTTCTGCTTCGGCGTCATTTGCGTGTAATCTATAGGCCGCCGGTCAAGATACTTGTCTGCAAACTCTCGCTCGAAATTGCGCTGCCGACGCGGCCACATGTTGTGGCCACTAGGCGCCAAAACCGGATCAGCAGTTCCGACCATCACCCGCACAACTTCCCGGTGTTGCAGCCCACCGCCGACCGTGCTGGGCATGCACCCTGCTGGGCCGGTGCTGGACCCATACTGCGACGCGTCAACTCCGCCTCCAACTCCAAAACCCGCCGTTGCAGCTCTTGATTCCGACGACGTTGCGCTTCAAAGATTGGCCCGGGTAACCGTATCAGTTGCTGCACATGTGGTGCCTATGACAAGCGGCACTTCCGCTGTCAAAAAGCTCATCGCCTGGGGCCTGCTGCGAGGTACATGGCACGGAGGTGGGGACATGCCTCTGGCGCCGGCCCTGACGACGAGAAGTCCCAAACAGGGGGGGTGCAGAGGGCAGTAAGGGTGGGGACATACGAGAGGGTGAGGGATGAGAAGCGGAGGGGTGGGAAGGGAGCACGGCGGAGGTGGGGGGAAGGGAGGAATGGGGCACCTGGGAAGAGGAGGGCTGATGGGTGGAGAGGGCAGCTGCCATGCTTGTCCTTGCTGGTTGACCTCCGCCCTTGTCGGTTGATCCACTGCTGTGTGTGGACCATCGACAAAGTCACCATCATCCCACTCCATCTCCTCCGAGTCAAGAAACGAGTCGTCGTCGCTCAGCCAATCGCGGTCTTCGGCAGCATGGACCTTCTTCCCTCTCACCACACGCGGAGAGCGCATGGCCTGCACGGGCGCCTCAGGTACATGTGTATCACGTTGGGCTGCAGAGGGGTTGGGGTTTGGCGGCAATGGCCGAAGCCGGGTCCGAACATGCATCATGTTGAGGCTGCACGTGTGGGTGAGGAGCGGGAGCAGAAAACGCAGCTACGGGAACACGTAGGATCCCTGCGGTTGGTGTCGCAGTGTTACTGAAATGGGAATCGGAGCGCAGAGGTGAAGGGCACAGCTGGGCGGAAGAGGAGTGAGGGGAACAGGATGGTGGTTGGCCAGATGAAAGTAGAGGCGATGAAGAGGGCAGCAGGGCGTTGGAGAGCACATGAGAGGAGTGCAACTGGTCAGGGTAGATCAGAGGTGTATTGCAGCGGCTGAGAGGGGGAAAAAAATGGTGGAGGGCAGCTGGGAGGAGTGCATTAGGTGGTTCGAGTGCACAGGGGAGGAGTGCTGCTGGGCGGAGGAGAGAGGGGGGAAAGAGTGCTGAGAAGCGGACGGGAGCGGCGGGGAGGAGTGCTGCTGGGCGGGAGGATGGCAGGGGGGAGGGGTGCTGCTGGGCAGAGGAGAGCAGAGGAGAGGACTGCTGCTGAGCGGCAGAGTTCTGTTGGGCGGCGGAGGGCAGGGGGGAAGAGTGCTGTTTGGGCAGAGGAGAGCAGTGGTGAGCAGTGCTGCTGGGTGGCGGAGGACAGGGCGAGGGGTGCTGCTGGGCGGAGGAGAGCAGGGAGGAGGTGTGCTGCTGGGCGGCGGAGAGGAAGGGGGAGGGGTGCTGCTGGGCGGAGGAGAGCAGAGGAGAGGACTGCTGCTGAGCGGCGGAGTTCTGTCGGGCGGCGGAGGGCAGGGGGGAAGAGGGCTGTTGGGCCGGCGGGCTGTTACGCATAATGAGTGAATAGCAGTGGGCTGTTACGCATAATGAGTGAATATCACACTAAGATGAATGTATGAGTTTGATAAGCCACTTCAACCGTAAATGTCTCTACAAGTATACGCGTGCACACACCTTAACAAAGCATGGGAACTTCTTACGGGACCTGGTAAGACCAGGCATAGGGTGTAATGGGGTTCTGCTGGGATATGGGGCGCTGCTGGGAAGTGGTTAAAACAGGGATTTCAAGAAAGTACGGAAGTGTGGTGCTGCTAGGATATATAGAAATCTAGGCTAGGGTCATAACAGGGCGCGGACGTATCGTCACGTATGAGGTGAATCCTCATCCCTGGCATGCGGATACGCCACGTCAGCACCGGATTTGGCGCCGTGTCATATGAATTTGTCGTGCTACGGGGTCAAATCCGCAACCCTGGAGGTGCCGACCATGGAGAAAACTACCCTCGCCTCCTCCCCAAAGTGAGAGAATTTGGTATCGCTAAAGAATTTGCATACGAGGGCAGTATTCACTTCAGTGACTGCACAATAGTTAATCTTCAAAAGTATGTTCTGCACCCAAGGAGTCTGGAAACGAGAGTGGGGTGAAAGGAACTCATGTCTCACCTGACTGAGTGCACTTGGCGAGCAGCTGTCGAGGCTTGCGTGGAAAAAAATGTGTAGCATAAGGGGGGCTTCGATATGGGTTGGGATATCTTTGTCCAATGTTTGTTGGCCAATCCGCAAAGTAGAAAACTGGTGTAGCACGAACTGGTGATAGGAAACCTGCGGCCAGGCAAGTTCTGTTGGCCAAGCGGTTGTTTCAGGTGTGTCCACACTGCCAGGTGACAGGAGCAAACACACCTGGGAGAGCACCTTCACTGTCATGAACATATAATGGATGAGCGGATGAAGAACAATGAGTAAACAATCTGGCCAGGGTACAGTACTAGGCTCACCTTGGTCACGACCAATTCGGTTAGGCCAGGTCATGCTGCCTCTGACTACACCACATCTGTCCATCCTCACCCTTGAGAGAGCTTTCTGCTGGCGCGATATTGGACCACAAACCTGCAGCAGTTCACCCAAGCAGCAAATCCCCCCGGTCCTTGCTTCTGACGTGTGTGGTGCGGCGGATACGGCGCTGGAGACGCTTCCTCCCGCATTGCAGCTGAACGAGCCAGAGGTGAGGTTGCGCCAGCGGACCTGCGTGCCAGGCAAGGGTATTCGCCGTGCTGATGGGGAATCCGCCCGCCATTGCGCCGGATCCGACGCTGACATGGCGGACCTTAACGCCAGGCTAGGGGATTCGCCACGCTGACGGGGAATCCGCCCGCCCTGGCGCCGGATCTGGCGCTGACGTGACGGATCTGCGCGCCAGGGAAGGGGTTTTGCCGTGCTGATGGGGAATCGCCAGCCCTGGCGCCGGATCCGGCGCTGACGTGGCGGACCTGTGCGGCAGGCAAGGGGATTCGTCGTGCTGACACGGAATCCGCCCGCCATCACGCCGGATCCGACGCTGACGTGGCATACCTGCGCGCCCGGCAAGGGGATTCGCCGTGCTGATGGGGAATCCGCCCGCCATCGCGCCGGATCTGAGGCTGATGTGGCGGATCTGCACGCCAGGCAAGGGGATTCGCCGCGCTGACGGGGAATCTGCCCGCCCTGACGTCGGATCCAGCGCTGATGTGGCGGACCTGCGCGCCAAGGAAGGGAACACGCCGTGCTGAAGGCGAATCCGCACGACTGGCGCATGGGGCAGAAGGGTACATGGAAAAGGGAACCCTGAAACCGCATTCATCTCTTCCCCCTATTCTGGGAGCACCCAAAATCCCAGTTTCCCCCAAATCCCAGCGGCACAAGGGTATCTATGTTACGCTCAAACCCCACCTGCGCCCCATTAATATGTTACCCACATATCCTCATTTTGTGCAAAACTCAGCAGCACTCTATTTTCCCATTTTCCCCAAATCACAGGGGAGGTTTAAACGCATCCCTGGTTTCCCCCAATCCTTGTTATGTACCGGATCCCTGTTCTTCCCATGTAAAGCATCACCCCTCATCACTGCTTTTACCGCCTTTAAGGAGAAACCCATTTGCAAGTTTCCACACATCTGTATATCGCCCATATCCCTGCAGCTCAACCTTTTCTTTAGTTTCCCTACTCCAAGAGTTTTACCATCCTTGTTCTCTTAATATTGCTGCAGTGCCCCATTTCCTTGTTTCACTCACACCCCTGCTTTCCCCATAACCCAGTAGCACCTTGTCTTCCTTTCTTCCGCTTTGCTCTGTTTATACCGCATCCCTCTTTCTCCTCATATCCCAGCAGCTCCACATCTCCAGCGTCCCCCCGTGACTCCCTCTTCCTCATACCCCAGCAGCTCCACATCTCAAGTGTGGTCCCGTGACTCCCTCTTCCTCGACGGTGAGTTCCTCAGCCTGTTGCAGCCTCGTTGCCCCTGACACTCCTAGTAGGTGCAGAGTTTAGGCCTGTATACCTTGCTAGTGAAGAAATTCCCATTTCCTGTCGTGTGATATCTTGCTACTGTTTTACTCACCACCTGTTCTGCATCCTTTCTGTGATCATTTTCCCAATCTAAACCCCTTTTGGGCTTGCAAGAGAGTCAAGAGTCCATGGACTTCTACGCATGCCAATTCTGCAATAAGCGCTTTCGCGGCCCTGCCGAAGTGTCGAACCATGAGCGGTCGCATCGGAATGACGCTTTTCCAGAGCCCCATCCGCGGGACATCCTCGTCCAGCAGTATGAGGGGGTGTTGTGGGACCCACCAACAGCGGAGAACTCAGCTGCTGCGGACGCTGAAGCTCCGGAGCTGCAGGAGGAAGACCTTGAAGGGGAGGATATTGGAGGAGAGGAGGGCCTGGTAGGGGAGAAAGGATTAGCAGACCAACAGGCCATAGAGGAGGATGAGTTCGTGCCTGCAGCTGCTTATTTCGCAGAAGAGGACGACGAGGTGTCTAGTTTTGACACTCGCTTCGAGACTTCTAGGTTCCTAACACAGTGCAATCGTGGCGTAGGATTGTGCGGGCCCGACGTGGATGCTTTCCTTCGTCTTGTAAACCATCCCGGCTTTGTTAAGTATGATTTGGGAGACTGGAAAAGGAAAGGGGCTGTCGAGAAGTACATGCGGAGGAGGAATTGGGCGTTGAGAAAGTTAAGTTCAAGACCACGCAGGTCCAAGTGACAGGGTGGCCTAAGTCATTCGCCGTCAAGTACCTGGACTGGGTAGAGGTAATTTCTGGCATGCTCTACAATGGTGTGTAGGCATTGTCTTTCGTTAAATGGACCTATACTTGGATGCACAATGGATATATTGTTCACTCTACTTGTGCATATTTTGGCAGTTATTGCGAAGCATGTGGGCAGACCCAAAGAATGCTCAGGGCTTTGTACATCACGCGGCCCATGATGACGTTAAGCTAATGCAGGGATTTGTGTCTAACTGTGTTAGCATCCAAAGGTGGGAAGCTGCATATGTACGGCCAGGCCAGCTCCAGGCCCGCCTCCTGGGCGGATCACTCGCGGCGACACGGGCAATGACGGCCTTGTCTTGCCGAGGGAGGACGAGGGGGGTGTGGAAGGGGGTAGGGATAGGAGCCACGACAAGGGGCGAACCGAGGATGGTGTCACCATGTCTGCGTCAGACGTGCCGCGCAGACTGAGGAGTGGTGTTGGCGATGCGTGTCGCTGGCGATGCGTGCCGTTGGCGATGTGTGCCGCTGGCGATGCGTGCCGTTGGCGATGCGTGCCGTTGGCGATGTGTGCCGCTGGCAATGCGTGCCGCTGGCGATGCGTGCCGTTGGCGATGCGTGCCGCTGGCGATGCGTGGTGCTGGCGATGCGTGGCACTGGCGATGCATGGCTTTAGATATGCGTGGCACTGGAGATGCGTTCGCCCTGCAGCGGCGCTAACGAGGTGTGGCGGGGATAGATCGCGGAGCCGCACAAGGGTGGCGTCGCATCGCCCGTCAAATGAGTGAGGGCACGTCGCACGGCCTTCCGTGTCCTGGTCGCCATTTGCTCGCCACCTCACGTGTCGAGGCGGCCTTTCTGCACACACCGAACGTCGCGCGTGCCGCTGCCTATGCGTGCCCTTGACTGGCCGTCTACTGCGGGTGTGAAACCACTCTGGGTACGGTGCCGCCTTTCATTGCCAGCGCACAAGGGCAAGATGCGCGCGGGGAGACCTGGCACTATGACACTATCGCCTTGAGCGCCGCTGCTACTGGCTTGGCGTGCTCAAAGGGAGTGCAGCCAGGGGGAACGTGGGGGTCCGTTACGACAGACAGCAGGAAAAGGTCGCGCGGCTGGGCCGCCGTGAGACGAGCGAAGGCGGGAAAATGTGAGATGGGCGAGGAACTAACGTTGAATGACTGGGGAGCTGTTACGGTGCCGCATGGAGTGGGAGAGGGAGGAAGCAGTCTAGTCTATCCTCCCTCTGCTTCGATGGATGAGGAAGCTGTAATTGTGTGGATCGATCCCAGCAGTTCTGGTTCAGCTCTCTCTCACATTGGTCCTAACACAATTAACAGACATCGCACACACCAAGACAGCAGCGCATGGGTCGTTTCGGGCAGGTGTACAGTATTGGCGAGACGGATTTTGGGAAGCCCCCCAAAACTGCAACGCACACCCACGCGGTCGGGGTCATGCTGGCTGTGTTTCAGGGCAGTGGATAGTTTAGGCACTTTTTCTTTTAGGGTTTAAGAACAGGGTCTGGCGGGGCGATGCGAAGAAGGCGGTTGGGTAACGGGTGACTGACACGATTAGCCCGCTAAACGTTGAGAACGCACACTCGCACGCGAACTTCAGAATGGGCTCTCGAAATTGCCCCCCGACATGTGCAACGCAGAGTCATCTGACGACCTGGATTCAAAATACTGTACAGGTCATATGCCCTGAGAGCAACTTCCTTTTACGCCCGGGAGTATCTCATAGGCATTTTATCCTTAAGGACCTCTCCTTGTAAGCAAAGTGTACCCGTCTCAACTGAACAGTAAATATGACAGTCAAGTCGGATGATGTAAGACCGTCCAATCATTTTCTCCTGTGCTTTCAGAGCGACCACGCCTAGTGGTCGGCAAGCCTCTGAAAATCCAGATGTGTCAGGCTCGCCAACCAATGTCGATTTTTTTTTTTCCAACAGATCGCTGACGGTCCAGTAGGATTACGACTGCAGACCACAACCAATAGGAAATAGAAAATCCGTCAAACCACAACCAATAGGAACGCACCCAGGAGCGCGTCAATGAATCTGTTATTCTTTTGAAACCAGGCCTGTGGAAGTGAGGGCAATTACACTGCTTTGTCAAGAAAAACAGGGCGAAATTTCGACGCCCGAGTTTTGAGTAGGGGATGGATGGACCCTGAAAATTTTAATGTAGAAGTTCACACCCCTAGAAAAAATGGCTCCCCTGTCATTGTCAGGAGTGGCACATTCTGAGCAGGGCGAAACGCATGCCTGCAAAAACAGTCAAAAGTTTAGAGCTACCCAGCCAGGAAGTCTTGGGCAAACTCGGATTATGCAGGGTGACCCCTAGGTTATCGAGGGACTAGCTTGAAACGAAAAGTTGATACACAGGTGGAGAGACTTGCGACGCTGCGACGTTTCCTCAATCGCTGCATACGCCAGTCAAGCCGCCCATGCACAGTACACAAAAAACACCGCCCCATTTCCTGGGAAAATCCTATAGTCCACGTTGCCCCTACCGTACGGCCCGTATTCGTTGTAAGCGAAATCTCTCGCGTCGCCCCCCGGGCTCTCAGGGCATATGACTTGTACTGTATTGCCTGGGCCGAACTCTTTCACGAGTGTTCCGCAATTGTAGAATATGGCGACATGAACAACGCAGGAAAGACCTTTCCAGCCATTTGTTAGAAACTAACGGTAAGCAGCATTTCCAGTTGTCGCTAACCGCAAGTGTCCGCCAGCCTGGCTGAGACCACCACCATTACACTGTAGTCGATGCCAACGAACGGCCCGTCCCATTGTAATGTAGTGCACTGGGCTCTTGCATGGGGCGTAAGCTTGAACATGGTTGTATCCAAACAATGCGTACAGTGGAGTGTACTTTATAGTATAGGCTTAAGCAACATACTCTGAATAATAGCAGTGCATGTTTATGTTTCTACAAACTTATGCTATGGAATACCAAAACAATTACAGAACACGTGGTCACGGGGGTCATCTTGAAATGAAAGCAAGGGAAAGGGGACATTACGAAACTAAAGCAAACAACCACATCACATGACACACAAAGTAAAGAAGCACGCAAGGAGAAGGTGCACGAAGAGCACCGAACACGAGAGCCAAACACACAAAATAGCATAGCC